CTATTCTTCTGTTGATACACTTAGCTTGTTTTCCTCATTGTTAAAACAGTGCTGTAAGGAATATCCCTATTGTGTCTGTCATAATGTATAAGAGTTTCTTTAGCATGTATTCCTAACAGTGTCATGCTGAGTCAAACTCTGAAATTATCTTTGATTTCATTAGATCACCAATTTGCTCTCCAAAGTGAATGTGCCATTTTATACGAAGATCCTAGTGTATGAGAGTTGTTTCATATCCTCTTTGACACCCTATCTGGTGGATGTGAAATGGAATCTAATTATGGTTTTAATTTGCATTTTCCTAATTAGTAATGAGGTTGAGCATTAGGTTGCACATCTTTTCTGATGATTCTTGGCCTTTCAGCCTTTCTTTTCATGATTTTCTTGTTCTTGGCCATTTTTTGGGTTTGTCTTTTTTAAACTGATTTATTGGAATTCTATACATGTTACTGATAACTCATTTTGTTATATACAGTGCAAATATCTTTTCTCAGTCTGGTCCTCCATTTTACCTTTTTTCTTAAGGGGAGTATCTTTGTCAATAGAAATTTTACATTTCTTGAGGTGGTGTTTTCAGTCATTTGTGCTTTTGGTGTACTATTTGAGAAATCCTTCCTTGGGATTGTGCAGATATTTTCCTGTATAGGGACAGACGCCTTCTGGGCCACAAAATCTAAAATATTTACCCTCTGGCCCTTTACAGAAAAAGTTTGTTTACATTTGCTCTAAAGAGCCTCTTAATTGGAGAATTTTAATCACCATACTCATTTTTTTTTTCAAGTATTTAAGCATAGCAGTCTTTGTTGTTATTGGGAAAAGCTGGAGAAAGTTATATGAAATTTTAGAGATTGACATTGTAGTATCTTAATCTACTTGAACTAATTACAGCTTTGTGAAAGGAATAGTGGCAAGGACTTAGAAGTTGGCTTTTCTTTCAGATCAATTCTTATAATCTTTCTTCATCCTTTGAAAAAATTTAGGTATATGTCTGTATATACTAGGACAAGAGAGAATAGATAGAAATTGTTAGACCCAAAATTTTCTAAAAATCCTTGGTTGCTGCCCTTCTAAGAACAGTTTGGCTATTATAGATTTGAAATGTATTTTTAAACGATTGACCCTGCATATGGAAGTAATACAGTGGTCACACCCACACATATCTCTGTTTCACTTTAAATGATAATAGACTTTTGCTATTATTTAAGTCGGGTTTTCTTACCTTTTGTTGAAGTAAAAGGACTCTATTGACAGTTTCTAGCTATGGGAGAAGTCATCTCTTAAAAAGTTTGATTCTGCCACTCAGTATACCCACTTATAGGTCTTAAGGTTACAGGTTTGGGGAGCCATATGTTCTAGCTTTTTTGACATTCAGGTATATTGGATGAGAAGGAATACTTTTTAAATTTTTTCTCCAGTTTCCTAATACTCTGTATACAACTTAAAAGAGCAAAAGCAAAAGGAAAACATCCCTGTGGAAGATAAACCTGGTCATTTGTTAGCAGGAAAATTACTTAATGAAAGTCACAAAATTCTTTAATTTTATTCATCTATTGTTTCAAGACCCATAGGTCAAAGTGTTTCAGAGAGAGGCCGTGAAGTGTCAGCCAGTTAATTGGACTGGAGGATATTATGACTTCTGTCATTGCTGTTTTCAGGATTCTTTCTCTATAGTTTTATTAAAGAATTGAAAGTTGCTCATTTTGGTACAAATAATTGTCTTTTGTTAGTAAATAAATATCTTTTTGAGGCCTCTGTTTATTGCCACATTCAGTTTTTTCCATCTTGCAAATAGTTTGTACCAAATTCTTTAAAAGGAAACATTACTGTTTTCAGGATTCTTTCTCTAGTTTTATTGCAGAATTGAAAGTTGCTCATTTTGGTACAAATAATTCTTTTGTTGGAAATATCTTTTTGAGGCATCTGTTTATTACCATATTGTTTTTCCATCTTCCAATAGTTTGTACCAAATCCTTTAAATGGAAACTTCAATAGAAGATCACTTCTGAAAAATAATTCTTCTTAAATATTGCAAAGGAGAAAGAATCAACTTTCTTGATTTCCATTTTCTGCTCTTCTTACCCAACTACTCACCTAAAACCATCTTTGGATAACTGAGTCTCGAATTCATAGATGGAATAATTACTTCAGAGTGCTTTAAAACTTAACAAACAAAAACATGTTTAATATAAAATTAACTATGATTTATAATTATCTTCATTATGGAGTGAAAAAAGACAAATTTAAGGTACCTCAATAAACCTGCTCTAGTGGGAAAGAAGTTTATTGAAGCTAGTTCTTAATCTTTTGCTTTTGTTAATGCCAGTACTAGCCTAACACTTCAAGATAAGCAGGCCCTTTTTAAGATTTGCCTCTTTAAAAATTAAAGTAAGTTTGAGTACGGAGCAGCAAGTTATTAAACTGTATAATAGCATCCCTTTTTATTTGAAAAAAAAATATGGAAGATATTTTTACATATGTAGGAAGGTCTGCAAGTTATACACTAAATTATTTTTGGTGGGGAGTTGACTGTTTTGTAAATTTATATTCTGGAATTTTTGGTTAGGAAAAAATGAATTAAAATAAAAGGAGGAAAAGGAGGAGGTGGTAAAGCTTTAAGTAGAACTGATGTTGAAAATATGTTACATTAAAAAGGTTTTCCACAGGTCACTTCATGAGGAAGATGTTGGGGTAGGTGGGTGGGATGGGTGAGGGGGATAAGAGACAGAAAAACCTCAATTATAATATGAGTTGGTCACAGGGATGGAAGTGCAGCATGGTGAATATAGACAATGGATCTGTAACATCTTTCTATGCTGAATTGCAGAATTGAAAGTTGCTGACAGATAGTAACTGTACTAGTTGGGGTGAGGATTTAATAATGTGTATAACTGTTGAATCACTGTGTTGTATACTTGAAACCAATATAATACTGTATATCAACTATACTTCAGTTAGAAAAAAAAAACAAAAGGTTTTCCAGGCCTTGAGAAAAGACCAGTTTATTGGGTTACTTTATACTTGGATATAATATATAATAATGTATTGAGCCCTGACATTTTAATAGAGTGGATTTAACTATTATAGAGAAGAGAAATAATATAATTGAGTGAGAAGATGGAAGGTATGAAAAAAAAGTAAACTAATTCTGCTACCTAGAGTTACCTTAATTCTTTTACTCTGTTAATTAATTAATATTATCATTGCAAAGGTCAAAAGAGAATTCAGTCAGAAAAATCGTGATATAATTTGCATTCCATTTTCTGTGTGACCATAAATTGTTAGATATTGCAACATATGTAACATAAACCAAGTGTCAGCTGTTTCCTGCCTCACTGTTGACAAGAGCCCCATTCATAACTCTTCTTTTTATCCTTTCAGTGAATAAGTAATTATTCAATATAGAAGGCAGGATATTTGGAACTGGCTATTTAATGTGGCAGCACTCTGTAATGAAATCTGCTGTTACTGGCAACCTGAGAGGAGAATGTAACAATTCCAGCATGGCTGTAACTTTATCTGCTTTGACTGACTGTTTATTTAGCACATCAGTGAACCTTTTATCCCAGTGAGTGACAGCTCCAGAAGGGTCACATTTACATCCATTCTATCATGTATTGTAATATTTAATGGCAGACAAGGTTGAGTGATACTGGGAGTAATTTGAACTTGCTTTTCCACTGAGTTGAGGCTAAAAGACAGCTTGATCCCCAGTATTGTGGTGTAACATGCTATGACTTAGCATTTGTTTATGAAGGCTAATCTTACTGATTATAATTTTTTAAAAAATCTTCAGTTATATGGTGTATTTATTCTACTAAAATAAAGCTCTCCAGTACAAATTCTCTTAAGCTACTTTGCTATTTAGCTTTTTTCCCCTGTCAGTGACCACTTCTATAAACTAACCATTTCACAGTATTTCTGTTAGTTGAGGCTGTATTCCATCTCATTTGTGTAGTAATTGAGGTTGAGAAGGGGGTAGTTAATAAGAACCCGTGGGTTTTAATATATAGCCTTAAACTTTTTTATTTTTGCGTGTTTGGAAACGAGAGAAAAATCAGGTAAATATTAGACTGTATATCTGCTGTTCCTTATGATGTGTTTAAGGAGACATTTATATAGCCATCTTCATTTGAAAATGAATTATCAGTGAAATTGTCCATGAAAAGCTATCCTGAATGATAATTTTACTGATGGATTTGCATTCCATGACAAGTAATTGAATTTCAGATGACTTGTTCGACACAAGCAACCTGCCTTCATTATTAAATATTAATAATTTGCATTCATTTTCATACCTTTGTTAGAGAATAGTTTACTTTTTTTAGTGATACATTAGATCCAACTTGATATTTGTATTCTTTTGTAAGCTATATTTAAAATGCTTCTTAAAATATTGATATAGGATATTTGAATGGGCTATACCGTGAACAAAAATGGCACTTTCAGCTCTAAACTATATCACAAGTACACTTGAAGCCTAAGCAGAATTGAAAACCATCCTCCATTTTATCTTTTCTAATTAATGAAAGAGAATTAAAATGTACTTAAAACATTTGGATTTGAGAGTTCGAATGATGTGTTAGAAAGCAATGCAAGTAGGAAAACATAGTTTATAACTTTTAAAATTGAATGAAAACCAATTTAAAATTGTATTTGCAGTTTTTAATGTCTAAGCAGAATTGAAAACCATCCTCCATTTTATCTTTTCTAATTAATGAAAGAGAATTAAAATGTACTTAAAACATTTGGATTTGAGAGTTCGAATGATGTGTTAGAAAGCAATGCAAGTAGGAAAACATAGTTTATAACTTTTAAAATTGAATGAAAACCAATTTAAAATTGTATTTGCAGTTTTTAATGGCAAGTTTTAGGTGATATATCTTGGAATATCTCTTTATTTGGCAGTTGTGATTCATTATTTATATATTCTGATTCCATGAGAGGTTTGATAACATTTTTTATGGTAGTCCAGACAGTTATCTTTCTTTCCTTTGTTACAGGCTCCTGGTCACTGTTCTAAGTGCTGTTGTTCTGCTAAGCAAGGAAACAGTCAAGATTCTTCAAATACCATTAAGAAGGATCATGGGGGGAAATCCAAGATACCCAAAATATATTTTGGGACACGAACTCACAAGCAGATTGCTCAAATTACTAGAGAGCTCCGGAGGACAGCATACGCAGGGGTCCCAATGACTATTCTTTCAAGCAGGGATCATACTTGTATCCATCCTGAAGCAGTGGGTAATTTCAACAGAAATGACAAGTGCATGGAACTTCTGGATGGAAAAAATGTGAGTAAAGCTATTTTGTTTTAAAGAAAAAATAAGACTGAAAAGATTCAAATTACTCAATTTTTTATGTGTTCATTTTGTTTTATATGTACATTTCCAGTGATAATCAAGTAACTTATGAAAATGAAATTAATCACTAATAATTTGTTTTTTTGAAAAATAATTTTATCAAAAGAAAATCCTTATTGAAGTTTAAAATTTAAGTGGGTTTTGGTCCTAAAACTTGGGGTATTTAATTCCTTGAAATTAATTTCCATTTTAGTCAGATGTCTTCTTATTTTCTTCTTTTAAGAAAGTAGTCAAATATGGATGATGCCATATGAGGAGAAGAAAATATTTAAATAATTTAGTTTAATTAGATCTAACTAATACATTTTATATATTTAAAAACTTCAAAAGAAGATAGCTTATTTAGGCACTGAGCAAATTTTAAAACGGTTTTTAATTAGATGAGAAATAAAATGATTATCTTGTCTCAGAATTCTAATTAGTACATACTTCTTCAGAAAACCTATATTAAATTATTAACTTTAAAGATATGTCATTGGTGATTCTGAAGTTTTCCAGGGAATCTAGAATAAGATTAATTTGGTCTAAGTGGAAATAGAGAAATCTTTCTTACTGAAGACCTGTGATTTCTAAATAATATTTTGGCAATATTAATTTGGTAGTCTGTATAGTGGCTTGATAACTAGTTTAAACTTCATAACTAGTTTAAAATTGAAGTTACAAGTCTGGAATTACACCCATAAATTACCAGTAACCATAAATTGATAATATGAAATGACTGATGTTATATTGCTATATTTTGAAAGTTCTTCTATCTTTAAAAAACAGTGTTTTGTCAGAGTTGGTTCTATACAAAACGCTATGAGCTGTAGCCCCTAAAATTTCATTTAATTGACATATCACCTGCAACCATATAATGTGAATAAATTGTTTTGTATCATGCTTTTCTTTCTCAATGCTTTCTTCTGTTAAATTGAAACTTATTCAAGCTTTATTTGGGGATAACCAAAAGATGTTTCAATAGATATTCAAACATGGGAATATAAAGTATAAAGACTAAGGGGCATCAGTGGAAAAACTTAAGTGACTTGTTCAGAACAAGCCCGAGAGAGAACACAGAATTATTGAACCAAAACCAGTGTTGAAATTCTATTCTCATATTTGTTTCTGTATAATAACTGTGGAACTGTGAAATTTCTTCATTATTTTTGAAAAGTTCTCTTTAAGGGAAATGAAAATATTAAGTCAAATACTAAAAAAGTAGTAAAATAGAGAAAAGTCTTGTCATGGTAAAACCCCATATACTTTGTGCTAAAGTGGACTTCTTAAAATAAGTGGCTAAACTGATCTATTGAATTCCTCAAATACTTAAAATTTGGTTTTTGCCTGCATAGTCTATGCAAGAAGACTTGCTGGCATTGTCATTATCTTTTCAGTTATTATTGGGAAAATTATTATGTAATTGGTTATGTATTTGTTATCCCATTGGTAAAAGCAATTATAAAATTTTAGATTGTATTAAAAGCAAATAGTCTTATTTTATCTAATCCTCTAGAATCCTGCAGCACTGGTTATATTTTTCAATTGATCTTTACTCTCATAACCTTGAATCATGTAAAGAGGAAGTAATCCAATAGACTTGAATATTCAGAATATTTCATTGGCTTTCAGTTTCTGTTTTAAAGTAAACAAGTCCTTTATTTTTTAATATTAGTGATAAAAAGAATTGAAGATTCTTTTTAACAACCTTCTTGTGGTTGTTAGTCTTGACCTAGTTCTGCCTAAGAATGCTTAGCTCATAGGCATTTGAACATACTTTTCCTTGGTCCCAAGCCCTCAGAGTAATTTGGTATTGTAATGAGGGCCAATTACAAAGTCACTGTAGGTGTCCATGTTTACTATGGCTGAATTAGCACAGCGAAATGATAAATAGATAACTGACAGTTTGAGTGAAAAAGAGTTTAAAGCATGATAACACTTCAATTGACAGGCTCCCCTCAGGGTTGAGTTACGCTGCTAAAATGGATGAGCTTTTCTGGTTTTGCTATCAGCCTGCACAGGAGTGACATTCTAAGTGCCCTTAAAGTGTAAGCTTTCTGATTTTTTGGCTTGATCTGAAGGCATGTGTTTTTTTGTTCATTGTTTCTTTTATGAAAGTGTTCCTATACTGAAAAAGCAATGCACTTACCTGTTTCAATTAATTAATTACTTTTTGTTTCAATTAAGATAATTTTAAATAGCTCCAGAAATAATTCTGAATAATTATTTTAGTTATGGGAGACTAATTTTTGTTAAGATGAGACTTAACAGTTCATAATCATAGGCTCTGAAGGCACCTTAGTGACTATTTTGTGCCAATATAAGCTTTCAGAATAGTAAGATACTTGGAATGAAGAAATGGTGAATGTTATATTATTAAATTCAATCTGTATCAAACTCAGTATGAAAGATACTTGGCACATGTCCACCTGTCTCTGGATTCCAGAATCATAAAATTTTAGAGCTGGAAGGAAACTTAGAAATGATATAGTCGGTAGATCAGAGGAACCTTTAAAGGCTTCTTGTTCAGCTACTCTTTTAATGCCTAGTCACATGAGAAAAATGAGCCTTAAAGCCTACCTGGTGTCAGACAACTAATTAACAGGAAAGGAGTCAAGTTCTTTAACTCCTAGCCATTGCTATTTTGGCTACACTAGAAACAAAAAAGATAGCCTTATGGTATGGGGATTTTTTTTTAAATTTTATTTTGGTATCATTAATCTACAATTACATGAAGGACATTATGTTTACTAGGCTCCCCCCTTCACCAAGTCCCCCCCACATCCCCGTTCACAGTCACTGTCCATCAACATAGTAAGATGCTGTAAAATCACTACTTGTCTTCTCTGTGTTGCACAGCCCTCCCTGTGCCCCCTTCACACTATACATGCTAATCGTAATGCCCCCTTTCTTTTTCTCCGGCCCTTATCTCTCCCTTCCCACCCATCCTCCCCAGTCCCTTTCCCTTTGGTAACTGTTAGTCCATTCTTAGGTTCTGTGCTTCTGCTGCTGTTTTGTTCTTTGTTCTTATACTCCACATATGAGTGAAATCATTTGGTACTTGTCTTTCTCTGCCTGGCTTATTTCACTGAGCATAATACCCCTCTAGCTCCATTGGTATGGGGATGTTGACACAGCAAGGTCTCTAAAAGAAGTGGGTAGAGATTAGACAAAGTAAGTGAAAATAATATAGAAAATGAACTAAATAAAGTTTAGGTGACCCCTTTCCTCCCAATTTTCATTTTCAATACCTTGGAGGACCAACAAGTGGCTTCTCTTGACATGGCTGAGTACAAAGCTTTAGGAGAGCTTGTGTCCAGCTAATCAGGCTGTCCTTGGATTTACTGCTGTTCTTCTATAGGTTATGAAGAATGCTTTGTGCTTTACTCCATTTCTAGCAATTTCTAGGTGCTGTTGTGTATATAATGATATATGTATGCCTTAAAAACATATATTTGCTTTTTGGATGGTTCATGGTTAAGAAAACATATATGTAAAATAATTGTTTTTTACTTGTTAAGGACAGCAAACTGGGAAAGGTGTTGGATTTCAAAATGACATTTAATTTTTTTATGGATACACAGAATTAGTGAAAATTAAAATGGCCCATTATTCTACCACTTAGTCCCAAATGTCAATTGAAAAGAAAAGAAATAGCATATATGTGGTTAGAAGACTCAAAATTATAGAAAAATATAAAATGAAAAGAGAAGGTCTCTCTTTCCAGTTCTTTCCATCCCCTTAATCCTTCAAGGAAACTACTGTAAAGTTTTATGTGTATTCTTCCAAAACATTTAAAATATGTATTTGTTACAATAATCTGTATGTATATATATTTTTAAAAGCTTTAAACACATCAGCACATAGAGAAATCTGACTCATTTTTTAAGGGCTCTATCCTTTGTATGCTTTTACAATAATTTATTTAACATGTTCTTTGTTGGTAGAGATTTGGTTTATTTCCAGTTTGGCTATTAAATAGCACAATATATATATACTCATATTAATGGTGAAATTAAAAAATTTGGTAGCTATTGACAAATTGCCTGTGTACTTTTAAAAGAAGTAGCTTATACTTCTAATAGTATATTTATACTTCTACTAATTTCATACATCTTTTAATAAGGATATGATACAGCCTTGCTAGGTCTGGATTTTATCAAATATACTATTTTTTGATTAGTGTATATTAATCCCATTTTTTAACTTCAATAATAGAATGGCAAAGGACATTAGATAGTACATGAAAAAAGAAATGCAAATTGCTATTGAAAATTGAATATTCCTACAGTATAATCTAAGCCATGCTAGAAAGTATAAAAGGTACAAATCAAAACAATATTATTCTATTTTTTACCTTTAAAATCAGCAAAGAGAAGAAAGATAAAATTAGTGTTGATAAAGGTGTGGAAAAAGGGTAATGTAAAATGGTATACATTTTTCTGGAGGATAGTTTGGTAGAATGGTTTTCAAGGAACTTAAAAATACTTTATATTCTCTGATCCCATAATACCATTTCTAGAAATGTATACTAAGAAAATATTTAGAAGTAGGCATGAGAGTGCTCATTGCAACATTCTTTATAAGGCAAAAATTGGCAGCCTAAGTGCTCAATAATAGTGAAACTGGGTCATCAACTATGCATATTAATTCAGTGTGCTTATATGACAACAATGAAAAAGTGCTTAGTGATATGAGAAAGTATTTCCAGTAGGATTTTAAATAGAATAGGCTGTGAGAAAAGAATTCATCCCAGTTTTGCAAAAAATGTTTATTTATTGTGGCTAGATTTTTAATAATCCTCAGTGTCTGGGGAAAATTTACTATGTTCAAATTATTTTAATACTGGGTCACATTGTGGAGACATATTCATATATACAGATGTGTACAAGAAATAGGAAAAGAAATACATCAAAATGTTAATAGTACATCCCTTGTGTGATGGAATTATAGATAATTTAGGTTTTTGTTTTTCATATTTTCTAAATATTTTTTAGTGAACACTCATACTTTATTTTTTCCCCTAGGTTATTCCTCCCTCCCTACCCTTCTTCCTTTCTTTTCACTTATTTGCAATTGATCAAATAATATTGTTTCATGACCCCACCTGAAAAGGTACAAAAGTATTTGTAGAGAAAAAAATCTCTCCCACTCCTGTCCCCGTCACTTAGCTCTCATCTTTGATAGCAACCAGTGATACCATTGCTCTTGTGTATCCTTCCAGAAATATTTTTGCCTAATATCACATTAATGAGAACAAAGGCAAAACAAACATAATTTAAAAAATATTTTCCTCAAGTTAAGTTGGGATATCTAGAGCTATCCTGATCTTGAGCTCTATCTGAGCTAATCTAGTTTCTTTAAAATGGTTGTGATTGTATATATGGTGTAATGTCTCCTGTAAAATCTTTGCCTTTTGGCTTTAATGATGTTCCTAAAATTCCGAGATAAACTTGTTTTATTTCTTCTGTTTCAGGATTGATTCACATTTCAGTTATGCATATTTGTTTTTAGGGCAAATCCTGCTATTTTTATCATGGTGTTCATAAAATTAGTGATCAACGCACATTACAGACTCTCCAAGGGATGTGCAAGGCATGGGATATAGAAGAACTCGTGAGCTTGGGGAACAAAGTAAAGGCATGCCCGTACTACACAGCACGAGAACTAATAAAAGATGCTGCCATAGTATTTTGTCCCTACAACTATCTTCTAGATGCACAAATAAGAGAAAGTGTGAGTAGATATGTAAAAATCAGAACTTTTTTCCTACTTCATTGGGATATAAGTGATAAATGTAAAAGCTTTTAGATGTTTTAATGTCTTTTGCTTTATTTTTTGCCTTATGTATATGTAAACGTATGAACAGATATTATTCTAAGGTGTATTAAAACCTGAATTTTAGACTTTGTCATTTTAATTTCCAAAGTAGTAAGTACTTTTAAGTACCTAGTACTGAGGTTGGATTGTAGCAGAGTTTTTCAACTCTGACAGTAATGACATTTTGGACTGGATAATCCCTTGTGGCACGCTGGCTTGTGCACTGTAGGCTGTTCACCGGCACCTCTGGTATCGTCCACTAGGTGCCAGGAGCACCCTTGCAGTGGTCACAATAAAAAATGTCTCCCGACACTGCCAAATACCCACTGGGGGGCAAAATTTCGAGATCCTTTGATAGCTATCACTCTTCCCCTTTATGAATAGTCAGAAAGAATTATTTTAAAACATTTATGTGAGGAATCTATATTTTGAAGAACTTATATTGGGAGAATATACATACTATGCAAATTATGCTTTGTGAGCTTTTGAGAAGTTTTAATACAGCATTTGTGTTTATTTGTTTGGTTCTTCTCAGAGACATCCTGTTCTTACAGCATAAAACAAAAAATGAATAATTTGGTGTATTCCTCTTTTTATTCCTTTCTTTAGCTCTGATTGTACAACTCTCAGCAGCTTTCTACTTCTTTAAGATTGAAGTTAATAGGCATTATGTTCCATACCCCTACTATCCTTCCTTTTGTTTGGCTGCATCTTAGCTAGGTCTTTTTCCTCTGAGCCACTGTATGTGTCAATGCCAAGTCAGTCTTCTTAATATTACTTTTTAATATCAATCTCTTGCTCATGGAATAAAGTCATATTTCTTAAGCTTACTCTCTAGATGCTCAGTAGTCTAACCTGAATCTCTCTTTTCCACCTTCTCTGCTACAAACTCCCAAGTTGAATCCTTCAGAAATTATCTCATAGTCCCTTGAGGATACCTTGTTATTTCCTATATCTCTGCCTCTGATGACACCTATACTGAAATTCCCTACTCTCTCTATCAAATCCAAATCCTGTTTGTCTTCTAAACTGTAGTATATTTCCTACTCTTCCATGTTTCTTTCTCAGTCATCTTTAGACCTCTGTATATTACTACTTCCTCAGAATAACTCATTAGCAACTGCTCTGTGACATTTGTTAGTGTTAGAATTCTCTCAGTTGCAAGTGACACAAACCCAGCTTCAACAGAGCTTAAGAGAAAATACATGGCTGACTCTTTGGTGTGATGGCTTTATTCTCAGGCAACTTCTTGCTAGTGGGAACAAATCTAACTACCAGCTAGCTAACGGAAAAAAACATGATCTCATATTAGTCCCCAAAAGTACTCTGATTTGCCTAGCTTGGATCTCATATCCATTCTTGAACCAATCACTGTTGACCACAAAGGGATGGAATACTTTATTTAATTGACAAGCCTAGGTTCTGAGTCTGCTCATGTGGTGAGAGTGGTGATGTCCCTTGATTAATAGATTAACAACAGTCCTACTAACATAACACGGCAACATTGTGGTTACTACGTTCACCCATATTATCAGGGGAAGAACAATTTTCAAAATGAAGGGTTGCAGGAAAGACTCATACAGAACAGATACATACCACATTATATCAGTATTTTGAGAGTCTTTTGAGTCTTGTATTGTTATTTTATTGTTAAAGGTTTTTTTCATTCTGCTTTTTAAATTACGTTGGTGATTCCTTCATAGTGGGATTTTTATACCTCTTTGTGTAGCCAGCTGTATGTACCCTGATCCAGGCTCTCTTAACACATATTATTAATTGATAGGTTTGCAAAGTTTTTGAGAGTGTAAAACGGCAAACCCTGTAACACTGAGCTGATGGTTGGCCTTAGTGACTTAAAGTGATTTTAAGACTCAGAATCAGTTGCTTATGTAATTATACTTCTAATACTGGCCTATACTATGAATTTTTAAATGAAGTATCTTGCCTACTGCTGTAAAACCCATTTTGCTGAATGTTTTACAGTAAAATTTTTTTATCTTATAGATGGATATCAATCTGAAAGAACAAGTTGTTATTTTAGATGAAGCTCATAACATTGAGGACTGTGCCCGGGAATCAGCAAGTTACAGTGTAACAGAGGTTCAGCTTCGATTTGCTCGAGATGAACTAGATAGTATGGTCAACAATAATATACGGAAGAAAGACCATGAACCTCTACGAGCTGTGTGCTATAGCCTCATTAAGTAAGAACACTTCTCTGTTATATATGCCAGAGTATTTTACAGTTAGTAAACTTTTGACCAGCTATTTGGGAAATGGATTGTTCCTTACTAGTTAAACTTTTCATAATAGGTTAGTCAGACTTTTGTTTAAAAAGATAATAATGAACATAATTGATTTTTCAAATTAGTAATTGTGAACTTTATTCCTAATTTAACAGGGTAATATAAATAGCCCCATAGAATGTGTATAGGACATTGGGCTAAATATAAACTGAACATGTTTAATTAATATTTTAAAATCCTGGATTATGGCTTTAATTTATTGTTTATCCTCCAGTTTGGGTAGGATTCTAGTTTGATGAGTTCCAGTTAACCAAAATTTTAATACTCTAAAATAATAGATTTACTAATAATTAGATTAAAATTTACATTAGATAATTTCCCTTTCATTAGACATTAGGTTGTTGATCTAGAATCCCTTTATCATAGAAAGAACCACCTCTGACTCTACATCCCATTCCATTTACTGCAACATTTTCCTGTTCCCTTCACAGTATTCTTTTTTAAAAATTTGAATGTTACAGAACATGTTTGAACATAGAAGGTATACAAATTTATATTGTAAAAACCTCCTCCCCACCCCAACCCCCATTTGCTTAGTTCCTGTCCTCCAGGACAAGTTTATCACTCATGCATATTTATGCATATAGGAGCCAATACTTTCTTTTATCCCTGCTTTTTTAGTCAAAATGATGGCATATTTCCTGTACATACAATTTTTTATCTTCTCCATTTCAAACCAAAAATACATATTTTTACACCACTTTATTGAGGTTTGATTGACATGCACAAAGCTGTAAATGTCTAATGTGTACAACTTAATGAGTTTCATGATAAGTATATATCCATGAAACTATCATGGCAGCCTATGTCATAAACATATCCATCGCCTCTGGAAGTTTCCTTCTGTCCTCTATTAATACAAGCTCTAGCCTCTTAGCAAATTTTTAAGAATACAATGTAATATAAGTATTGTTAATTAAAGGATCTGTGATCTATACATGCATTTTCCTGTATCTTGCTTTTTTTCACTTAATATATTTTAGAGGTTTTCCATATCAAGACCTATAAACCTTTCTCAGTTTCTTATTTCTTAATTTTTTTTATTAAGGTATCATTGATATACAATCTTATGAAGGTTTCACATGAGCAACATTGTGGTTACTACGTTCACCCATATTATCAGGTTCTCCCCCAACACTCCATTGTAGTCACTGTCCATCAGTGTAGTAAGATGCTATAGAGTCACTACTTGTCTTCTCTGTGCTATACTGCCTTCCCCATGATGCCCCTACATTACATGTGCTAATTGTAGTGCCCCTAAATCCCCTTCTCCCTCCCTCTCCATCCACCATCTCCAAACCCCTTCCTTTTGGCAACCATTAGTCCCTTCTTGGAGTCTGAGTCTGTTGCTGTTTTGTTCCTTCAGTTTTGTTTTGTTGTTATACTCTACAAATGAGGGAAATCATTTGGTACTTGTCTTTTTCTGCCTGGCTTATTTCACTGAGCATAGTACCTTCTATCTCCATCCATGTTGTTGCAAAAAGTAGGATTTTTTTCTTTCTTATGGCTGAATAGTATTCCATTGTTTATATGTGCCACATCTTTTTATGTATTTATGTACTGATGGACACTTAGGTTGCTTCCATATCTTGGCTATTGTAAATAGTGCTGCAGTAAACATAGGGGTGCATATGTCTTTTTGAACTTGAAAATTGGTATTCTTTGGGTAAATTCCTAGAAGTGGAATTCTCAGGTCAAATGGTATTTCTATTTTTAGTTTTTTTGAGGAACCTCCATACTGCTTTCCACAATTGTTGAACTAGTTTACATTCCCACCAGCAGTGTAGGAGGTTTCCCCTTTCTCTGTATCCTTGCCAGCATTTGTTGTTTCTTGTCTTTTTGATGTTGGCCATCCTAACTGGTATGAGGTGATATCTCATTGTAGTTTTAATTTGCATTTCCCTGATAATTAGCGATGTGGAGCATCTTTTCATGTGCCTGTTGGCCATCTGAATTTCTTCATTGCAAAATTGTCTGTTCATATCCTCCGCGCATTTTTTAATCAGCTTATTTGCTTTTTGGTTGTTGAGGTGAGTGAGCTCTTTATATATTTTGGATGTCAATCCCTTATGGGATATGTCATTTATGAATATATTCTCCCATACTGTAGGGTGTCTTATTGTTCTGTTGATAGTGTCCTTTGCTGTACAGAAGCTTTTCAGCTTGATATAGTCCCACTTGTTCATTTTTGCTTTTGTTTCCCTTGCCCGAAGAGATGCGTTCATGAAAAAGTTGCTCATGTTTATATTCAGGAGTTTTTTGCCTATATTGTCTTCCAAGAGTTCTATGGTTTCATGACTTACATTCAGGTCTTTGATCCATTTTGAATTTACTTTTGTGTATGGGGTTAAACAATAATCCAGTTTCATTCTTTTGCATGTACCTGTCTAGTTTTGCCAACACCAGTTGTTGAAGAGGCTGTCATTTCCCCATTGTATGTCCATGGCTCCTTTATCGTATATTGATTAGCAGTATGTGCTTGGGTTTATATCTGGGGTCTCTAGTCTGTTCCATTGGTCTATGGGTCTGTTCTTGTGCCAGTACTAAATTGTCTTGATTACTGTGGCTTTGTAGTAGAGCTTGAAGTTGGGGAGCGTAATCACCCCCCACCCCCAGCTTTATTCTTCCTTCTCAGGATTGCTTTGGCTATTCAGCGTCTTTTGTGGTTCCATTATGAATTTTAGAACAATTTGCTCTAGTTCTTTGAAGACTGCCATTGTTATTTTGATAAGGATTGCATTGAATCTACAGATTGTTTTAGGCAGGATGGCCATTTTGACAATATTAATTCTTCCTATCCATGAGCATGGGATGTGTTTCCATTTATTGGTGTCTTCTTTAATTTCTTTCATGAGTGTCTTGTAGTTTTCAGCGTATAGGTCTTTCACTTCCTTGGTTAGATTTATTCCTAGGTATTTTATTCTTTTTGATCTAATTGTGAATGGAATTTTTCTCATAATTTCTCTTTCTGCTAATTCATCATTAGTGTATAGGAATGCAACAGATTTCTGTGTATTAATTTTGTATCCTTCAAATTTACTGAAATCAGGCATTAGATCTAGTAGTTTTAGAGTGGGTTCTTTAGGGTTTTTTATGTAGATATGTTATATCACCTGCAAAGAGTGACAGTTTGACTTCTTCTTTACCAATATGGATGCCTTTTATTTCTTTGGGTTGTCTAATTGCCATGGCTAGGACCTCCAGAACTATGTTGAATAAAAGTGGGGAGAGTGGGCATCCTTGTCTTGTGCCTGATCTTAGAGGAAAACCTTTTAGCTTCTTGCTGTTAAGTATGATGTTGGCTGTGAGTTTATCATATATGGCCTTTATAATATTGAGATACTTGCCCTCTATACCCATTTTATTGAGAGTTTTTATCATGAATGGACGTTGAATTTTGTTAAGTGCTTTTTCTGCATTAATGGAGATGATCGTGTGGTTTTTGTCCTTTTTGTTGATGTGTGCATGATGTTGATGGATTTTCTAATATTGTACCATCCTTGCATCCCTGGAATAAATCCTACTTGATCATGATGGATGATCTTTTTGATGTATTTTTGAATTCGGTTTGCTAATATTTGTTGAGTATTATTGCGTCTATGTCCATCAGGGATATTGGTCTGTAATTTCTTTTTTTGTGGCGTCTTTGCCTGGTTTTGGTATTAGAGTAATGTTGGCCTCTTAGAATGAGTTTGGGAGTATTCCCTCCTCTTCTACTTTTTGGAAAACTTTGAGGATGGGTATTAGGTCTTCACTAAATGTTTGATAAAATTCAGCAGTGAAACCATCTGAACCAGAAGTTTTGTTCTTAGGTAGTTTTTTGATTACCAGTTTAATTTCTTTGCTGGTAATTGTTCTGTTCAGATTTTCTGTTTCTTCCTGGGTCAGCTTTGGAAGGTTGTATTTTTCTTTAAAGTTGTCCATTTCTTCTAGGGTATCCAGTTTGTTACCATATAATTTTTCATAGTATTCTCTCATAATTCTTTGTATTTCTGTGGTGTCTGTAGTGATTTTTCCTTCCTCATTTCTGATTCTGTTTATCTGTGTAGACTCTTTTTTTCTTGATAAGTTTGCCTACAGGTTTTATCTATTTTGTTTATTTTCTCAAAGAACCAGCTCCTGCTTTCATTGATTCTTTCTATTGTTTTATTCTTCTCTATTTTATTTATTTCTGCTCTAATCTTTATTATGTCCCTCCTTCAACTAACTTTGGGCCTTATTTGTTCTTCTTTTTCTAGTTTCATTAATTGTGACTTTAGACTTTATATGGGATTGTTCTTTCCTGAGGTAGGCCTGTATTGCAGTATACTTCCCTCTTAGCACAGCCTTTGCTGTGTCCCACAGATTTTGTGTTGTTGAGTTGTTTTCATTTATCTCCATATATTGCTTGATCTCTTTTTATTTGGTTATTGATCCATTGATTATTTAGGAGCATCTTTTTAAGCCTCCATGTGTTTGTGGGCTTTTTCATTTTCTTTGTGTAATTTATTTCTAGTTTCATGCCTTTGTGATATAAGAAGCTGGTTGGTACAATTTCAATCCTTCTAAATGTACCAAGGCTCTTTTTGTGGCCTAGTATATGATCTATTCTTGAAAATGTTCCCTGTGCACTTGAGAAGAATGTTTTTCCTGCTGCTTTTGCATGGAGTGTTGTGTAGATGTCTGTTAGGTCCATCTGTTCTAATGTGTTGTTTAGTGCCTCTGTCCCCTTACTCATTTTCTGTGTGGTTGATCTGTCCTTCAGAGTGAGTGGTGTGTTGAAGTCTCCTAAAACAAATGCATTGCATTCTATTTCCCTCATTAGTTCTGTTAGTTGCACATATGTAGTTTGCACATATGTAGATGCTCCTGTGTTGGATGCATAGATATTTATAACAGTTATATCCTCTTGTTGGACT